TTTCTTCGGTAAGAGTTTTAACGGAAAATTAACTAACGAACGGAGACGTGACAATATATATTGTTGTAATTTATTTTCGTGCATTGGTCATCAAGAGGTATGTGCTACCCTTTTCTCATTTTAAAGTGATAGCTTTGATGGAAGGCAATTAGTTTCCACTACCTGACTCGTGGGCTACTCTAATCGAATAGTGGGATGTGACCGTCACTCTTATAACATACCTACCACCCCAGAAAGCGAGGAGTATTTTCTTTTTTTAATGACGGTAACGGGGCGGGAACTTAGGAATCTCAGTTTGGCACGCTAACCAAGGGGCTGCGTTCGGTCCTTCATTAACGAAAGTTTATAAATTAAACACTGTTACTCAGTGCATCAACATTTTATAACATTATGTTTTTGTTGATACGCGTTTTGAAGGTTCACAATAATGTATCAGTTACACTAGTTTATCATCAAGGGGGTCGTGTATGAATATAGTCGTTAGCGTGCCGGACTGTGGGGCTCAGATTCTATTGACCATGTTCCATTATCGCAAAAAAAAAAGAAAAAGCTATCCGCTCTTTGTAGCCATGGGCACGTTTAATTCATAGAGATTATCAAATCCCACGATTTAGTCTAACAAGAGTAGTCTAAGAGTTAGCGGTGGATGGTATGACTAGGTATCTCCCCTCTAGTCTTTTACTCCAAAATTAGGGACGGCTAGCATAGTCAGCCATCGAGCAGCTTTGCACATTTATCCCACAAACATTTATCATCAAGGTATAAGGATTGTCTATTTGTAACAAACATGACTTTTGCTAGTAATTCCATCCAACTCAACAATTAAAAATGACCAATTATTCTTGTCGATAAATGAAATCATAAGGAACCTTATCGTATAATATTTTTCAACTGATAAGTGTTCAAGATATCACCTAAAAATAAACCCAAGATGGATTAATAACAGTATATATCCAACCTTAAAAACACTTCAAAGATATATGGTTCACATATTTAGTTAACAAAAAATAAACTACCAGTTCATGTTTAATAAAGATGATAAAACTAACGAAAATAGTGTGTCAGGAGTATTATATTCGCGCGTGTAGTCTCATCGTAACTGATCAAACCGCCATGTGCTAAAATTTACTCAGCGTATGTATACAAAATAAATCATGCCACTGTAATGTAAAACAGTGTGACCTTTATTGTAACGTTCTAGTTTTGTCGTTTTAAACTGTAAATAATAGTTATTTACAAATCATTATTTTCAATTTTAAAATGCAAAACATGGAACTGAATTAGATTTTATGTACTAATTTTCTGTAGCGCATGTCTTATTTTGCAGTTCCGTTTGATGGCAAATGTGCACGCCTAAGGAGGAGTTCTACGTGAAAGCAGACAGAATCTGTCGAAAATTGTGATCGCGGAGAAGTAAAAATAGGGAATGTTTAGTCGAAATATATTTTGAGTGGTAGTAAATTAAGCTTAACACAATGCAGTGGTATACGCGAAGAAAATGTTCGTCTTTGTATTTAAAAAATGCTTGTAATTTTGGTTTGTTTCACATTTAATTTTACAACAAAAAACAGAAGCGATAACCATGGGAAACTGCTTGAATCGGTCAGAGAATAAAAATGTCAAAAAGGGGGAGACGCATACGGGCCAAGCTCTGGTGGTAGAGAGAAATGAAACAATTTCTCCTACACCTAATTCAGCTCTTATAGTCGTACAGACTCATGAACCATCCAGTATAAGACCAACTCATCACGATCTTTTAAATTTAAAAGGAAATGGGCCAACACTGCCGACAGCCATATCAGAAACGGGCAGTATTTCAGGCTCCACTGGCACTGCTAAAATGTTTGTTGCATTATATGATTATGATGCCCGAACGGATGAAGATCTAAGTTTTAAGAAAGGCGAGCATTTGGAAATATTAAACGACACTCAAGGAGATTGGTGGTTTGCAAGGTCAAAGGCCACTAAGAAAGAAGGCTACATCCCTTCCAACTATGTTGCCAAACTTAAATCTATTGAAGCAGAGCCGTAAGTTGTTAGGTTATTAATGAAATATTTAGTATTTCTTTTTTTTTTCATTTCACTAATGACTAATAACGGATCTATGATACTTTGATTAGCCATGTTTATGAACCTAATCTCCTCTATGACATTAGATCTTCTGTTTTTTTTAATTCTACATAGTTAAACAGTGACCTTGAAAGAATTTCCTACTTTCAAAATTACATCCACACTATTACACATTTAGTCTAATGTCATGAAACACTTCAAATTTCCCATTGAACTTTCATTGCCATTTCTGTGAGTGTGACTGTGTTGTGTGAGTATCATACCTGTCATAGCATCAATAAATCATATGTATAATGTAATTCAATAGTAAATATTTGAATATTTATTATGTATTTATGTAGGGAATGTTGTTTTTCCCCCATAATATAGAGACATTTCATGCTCTTCCATAAATCATTTCCTTTGTTACAATTTTTAGAAGTTTCATATTGCATTTGATCAAAAAAATTAATATAATGCTATTTCAGTACAAGTGAAATAAAATACAATGAGTGGATGTGTCATAAATTCTTATGTAAAGTTTGGAAAATTGTGGAATAGTAAATTTTCCTGTATTTTGTTAGCTCTTTACATAGATACATTACAGTGTTGAATGAATCAGAGTTCTAAAGAAAGAAGGGCATATTATTAATTTATTATACAATATTTTAAACTTGGATGGTAACATCATATAAAGCATTGACCAAAAAAAATGGTCATAAATATAATAGTTGATGAAAAGCATTAAACAGGTTATTTGAGTTTTGAGTATTCTAGCTATAGTAATGTCATTAGCATCCATGACTTCATTTTTTATTTTTTTTAATCAAATGTAATGTGATCTTGTATACGCAACAACAGTGTGTGCAGTGCGAGAGAAATTCATATGGATGGTGAAACATGCCAGGACCTCAATGAAGACATTTGGACATTTCTATGATGTGGAGAGCAATAGATTGGTTAAGAGCTTGTCAAACACAACAACTATTTAAGCAATTAAAAGCAGCAACTGAATGAAAAGTTAGATATGAATAGTTAGAAAGGGGCTTTATAAGGTTAATGTTTATGATAGGTATATAATAGTGCATGTTCCTCTAGACACATCTCCAAAAACAACATTATTTGAACTCCACCAAAAACCTTTAGTTTTTGGTGGAGTTCAAAATATGGATCGTTGAAACATATATATGTCCAAATGCATTGTTCACAGATGAATTTCATTCACATTGCTGCCAGACACAGGATATGTATGCATTTGGAGATTTGCTGGGACCAGATCCAATCCCAAATTCACAGACAGAAAAACTCGTATGGCAGTGGAGACATGATGAACTGGGCAGGGATTACTATTGGTCAGCATAATAACTGGATTTGAATGCAATTGAACATGTATGGGAGGCTCTGTGAAGTCTTATCATCATGTGATTCGCCTCCAAGTAGCATAGGTGAACTAGAAGCATTTATGATGGAGAGACGGGCTGTATTACCCCAGCTGCTTATTGAATCACTCATTTTAAATGTACTACATCAACGTACATCTTGCAGTAACATTACATTAGAGGGACAAAAAGTGTGTGTCTGTGTGGGGAGCTTGGTCCAACATGGTTGTTCTATTCATTTTCTCAAATGTCCATCTGCCTGTATTCATTCTTTGCTCCCCAGGTACTCATCAAGCCCCTTTTTTGAATTCTACCAATCCCATTGCATCAACCATGTCTGAAGGTAATCTAGTCCAAGAGATTGACCACTCTGTTTGTAAAAAAAAATATTATCTAATTTGCAGATCATTTTTATGCTGCCAAGGCTATGACTACCATTAAGCATCAAAAAACATTGTGCGTTAATCCTGTCTGTTCATTATTGTTTTGAACATTTCAATTGGATTCCCTCTAACTGTTCTTTCTTTTCTCAAGATAAAATAATTCTAATGACCTGAACCTGTCCATAAATATGACAGCTCCTCTATTCCAGAAACCATCATAGTAGCACTCCTTTCAACAACTCAGTATCCTTAAAATAGTGAGCCCAAGACTGGACACGGTACTCTAAATGAGGCCTAACCTGACACACACACACACACACACACACACACACACACACACACACACACACACACACACATATATATAATAAA